AGACCAGGCTTCAACCCAACACACCAAAACATGAATACAACATACCGGCTTGTACCAGGGAACCAATAGAGAGGCCCAAGGAGTTGACCCCAATCCCGACTAGGCTGAGAACCCCTCCACAAAAGAATGTATTCTCAAAGGACAGCACTGGGGCTACATCTTGGGGAGAGGGGCGTGTTGGATTAGAGCACACAGGAGAAACGCAAAGGGATCAAGAGGTCAAGAGGGCATCCTGGCCCACCAAGCCCGGAGGACGAAGTTCCTGCTCGGAGCAGACAATGCACAGGGAGGACCATAGGGCTGGCCCCACCATGGCAACACGGCGTCCCTCACTGAACCATGGTGTTACAGAGGACAGCACTGGAAACACAGTGCAGGAATAGTGCACGGTCTGGCCCCATCATGCTGGGGCGAGACACTGAGGGCATGCAGCAGAGCGAGCAGAGTGATGAAACCTCTGGGGAACACCAAAATAGACTTGGGAGACAGAGTGTGGCACCCCATCAGATTCCACTGGAAAACACTCATAAAGGTCAACAAACAGACCCTGAACTATTTATAAGGTTTTCCATTTTTGTCAGTGGCTTTCTTTTGTAATTTGTGGTTTTTTTTTTTTGCTGTTGTTAATGTTTTGTTGGTTTTGACTTTCTTGATTGTTTTATTCGGCTTTGCCTGGCTTTTGCACTCATTAATGTATCTGCATGTCTATCTAGATAAGATAGGCAGGATAAATAATTCGGAGATGAAAAGAACAGGACCAATGGTTCCGGGGGAATATGGGAGAAGGGGAGGTGGGAAAGGAAATGGGGGGAAACCAATTCAGGGACAGCAAGTGAACTAAAATCAATGGAAGGAAGGTCATAGGATGACTAGTGGGGCTCAATCAAGGGCAATGTAGCAGCAAGGAATTACTCAACCCGAATGAAGGCCGAACATGGTAGGACAAGAGGGAAGTAAAAAGGAAATAGAATAAAGAACTAGGAGGCAAAAGACATTTATAAGAAATGCCTCC